TACCCCCCTCCCTTCCTTCTGTTCTCCTCTCATGGAGGCAGCTATCCACGGACATCGCCCAGCTAAGTTACGCCCAGCTAAGTGAACACTGAACTTTGTTTCCCATTCAATTTGAGCTCCAACCGGCCGCATGGTTTCCATACGGTAGCGTTTATTCTAGAATGGGGACTGTTTACATGTGCATATTGGTATAATTCCACTGTGTCTACTGTTGTTTGTACTGATACTGTACATATTGGTATCATTTACTGTGAGTTGTTTGTACTGGTACTGTGCATATTGGTATCATTGGTATATTTTATTGATTATCTCTGATCCCCACTGTCAATTTGGTCGTTGCGACAGTGCGACTCAACACCACTGACACTAGGTGGCTCCAAGCTAAAAAAAAAAACCCGAATCCTATCTGTTGCCTCTTTAAGTCTCAAACTTTTTGATGTCATCAAGTATAAAGTCTGGAGCTGCTCAATAGACGATGATGACTTGAAGCCTGATTTTGTGGATCCACAGAATGTTTGTCTTCTTTTTAAACCCCAAATGAGCTTTATTATTTCACTGTAGTGATCTCAGTCCTGAAACAGAACATGTACCCAGTTAGGGCTTGTGTCCACACAGCATTTTTGTTTTGTTGAACAGGGCGTGGCAGAGCACTGGGGAGCCCTTCATCACCTCATTAAAAGTGTTTTAAATGGGTTTTGTTTCTATGACAACAATATCTTGAATTTTACATCAGCTGAGTCCAACAACGTTCAGTGTCTGTTTGATCAAATGGGCTTTCCTGTTTTTATTGTGATAGCTTCTGAGTGACATGTCATGCAGACACTAGCTCAGGGAGCAGCAGTGATGATGACACCAGTGCCTTTGTGAAAAGTTCAGAGATTTTCGACTTGAAGCACAAAAAAGCCGGAGAATTTTGAAAAACGGCAGGTAGCTTAGACCATAGGAATAACATGTATGAATTTTGACAATGGGCATAGTTCCCCTTTAAGACCCATCTCTCGCAATTTAACGCTGTTTCAACAACAAATGCATCACACTGAACGACTACCAGCATAATGTCAAGGGAGCTCGAAGCAGCCTGAATATGTCCTCATATGTGCTGTTTGGTTTCTTCTAATCTCATTTGGATGACACATGTAACAAACTGATATGCATCATACATACACAAAATAGACATGTTTAAAGTGCCCAACACACCCCCTTCATAATATTGCTTTAATGTGGAGGCACATTATCACTAACATGACAGTGAGCTTCAGACACTCACTGAACTGTACAGTACACTCAGCTCGCACCTGCTGCGACTGGGGAGGTATGTTTATATCTTGACCGAGTGCTCACCCACACATCTGTCCCACTCTGCGGAGGTATTTCTTTTTAAAGCCAGACATTCAGTGTCTTGAATGTGCAAAAGATGATGCAGAGACATTCATCTCCTAATATGATGCTCAGCAGGAATCATCCCTGTTTGGCTGCACTGAGAGCGTTGCCTGTCTTTTATTTCCTGCTTGAACAGAGTTAATACTTGAACTACAGCCCCTCTACTCTGTCTGCTAACTGAAACCTGATCCTACAATCGTTTTAATTTCAGAGTATAAATTTATGGGTAATTTTCTGTATGCATGGGCAGGGCAACTATGTTTATCTTTTTCACTGCAGTGCAGCTAGTAAAGATAATTTATTGCAAAAAGTAAAACACCGAATGGTTCGTAAAGTGTTCAGGGGGGAAAATGAGCCATTTCCACAAAGAGGCACATACTAAGCAAATGTGTTGAGTCTGATCCAGGCAATCAGTGTCCAGGGCCACATCACCAAATAGTGCTTACAGGGTTAGCACAATGAAATTAGCATGGCATACAATGGGATTTACAGTTACCTCGGCGCTGACTCTACCAGTGTTAGTACAGTGGAACACTTTATTTTGCCAAAAAAGTATGTTTTCAAGCTTTGTGTCTAAAATCTGGCCCATGTTGCACATGCTTAAAATGCATTGGTTATTTGTCTTAAAGCAGCATCATCAGAGGGGCATTCATTTTCTAGGGGGTGGGGTTGTTTCAGGGGATTGTCTATCAGGCCAGTTTAGAAGCTTGTTGTATTATTACTGTTTGCTGAGCTTTATAAACTGTTCCGCAGTATGTAGTCGTCCTCGCTGGCAGAGGAGCGTAGAAGCATTAACAGGCACCTGTGTTTTATATCAAGCAAAGAGAAGGTACAGGATGAGGAGCTGGGCCGAATCCTAAAATATTCTGTGTAAGTACCATTTGTATTAGCACTATAAATGCACCCTTTGTTTTAATGTAGTTGTTTGAAACAATTAGACAATACACGCTGGGTGTTTTGGTGGAAAGTAGCCACAAATTGATCAATAGAAAATTTAATTTTGATTTGGTTGACCATATTATCAAAGAACTACTGTGAATATGGTGTTAGGACTCAGCCCAGCTGTAACTACATTGCATTATTTCCTGTCTCAAGCACTTAAACAAAAAAGTGTTTTTTTGTTTGTTTGTTTGTTTTTAAGATGAAAAACAGTTTCAAATTTTAAAATTTTGCACTCTGGCTGCGGCCACAGACAGTTATTGATATATCATGGTTACAAAGCACTTTAATAAACAGAGCATGACTGTGCAAAATGATACACAACTGTTTTGCACATTTTTGTGAAACAAATTCACACAAACATCCCCATAATTTAATAAAACGTGCACATAATTTGGTTTTAATGTAGTGAGTTCAAAAAGAAAGCATCTACCAGAGACACTTAGCTCACTGCTCATTAACAGGCACGCTTTTACTTAGACTACACTCACTGCATAGCAAACACACACGACTACTGCCAGCAAGATAAGCATCCCCGTGTCCACAGCGCCAGATGAACTGAGGTAACAAACAATACTAAAAACTCGACAAAAAAGAATACAAACCAATCACTGAAGCAGGGTCTGACTGATGATAACTCACTGATGAACACATTAAGGTGAACGACGCTGCCACGACAAAGCGGTGGTACAGAGCGTTGGATCTTCAGATAATTTCACCACTCTGCCTCTGTCTATGTCGCCTATAGAAAGATCTGCCACTGTGTGTCCACACAGCATTTTAAATGGGCTCTGTCTTAAATTCTACCTTCTTGGGTTCTCCATGGTGCTTTTAAACTAATGCGTAATGGCCAAATTACAAACAGCAACAGCAGCAACAAAAAACAATAGTCTTTTTTACAGATTGTACTATAGGGCCGCTACAAAGTCCCTTCTTAATGCTGCCTCTGCATTTTTACACACAACCAAACAACGGTGCTATCATGCTGCTCCATGTGTGATTTTAGACAGCATGCCTTCATCACGGAATCAAAAGAGGTATGATGGGCTTGACAGGTAACTCAATTAGCCCCTTTTACACTGCCAGATTTTCCGCGAATGTTGGGCCGTTTTGCCGTCAAGCTGCGAGCGTTTAGACACACAGAGCCGGATTAGCGAGATGATCTGAGGTGCCCAATTTTCCGCCTCGTAGGGTAGACATGTTGGTGGAACCCTTTTAGTTTAAAAAGGGTCCGCAACGGGAGGGGCTGTTGAAGACTTGTGGGAGGAGCTGTTGATGACTTGTGGGAGGAGCTGTTGATGACGCCGCACGTGTGACCCACTGGCAGTGGTTAAACAGGAAACAGCTGATAGCAGGAATTAGCGAGCGGCTAGTAGCAAGAGGGAAACACAAACCTGACAGACACTGTAAAGATGAGCAACTGGGGAGACAAGGAATTGCGCGCCCTCCTTGTCCTCGCAAACGAAGAGGCCATTAACCATCAGATGACGGGGACGGTGAAGAACGGGCCGACTTACGAGAGAATCGCCGAAGGACTGACCAGCCGCGGCTTCCCTCCCACGTCACTGTTTACGTCACACGCTGAGCTACACGTTTTGTTACTTGCTCACGCCCCCCATTGCCCCGAAAAAGGCACATTCTGTATAAACAAAAGTAGGTAGGCAGCATTTTGCTGCACTCCCCGATTTTGTTTTTATACTGCCAATGCTGAAAAAAGACTGATTGGGCTTTCCTGCAAATTTGCACAACTCCTGTTTAAAAAGGGCTTATGTGTGACGTAGAACATATGCATTGGCAGCGCTCGTCCTCTGCTCAGAGGGTAAGGAACTCCCAGACCTCATTGTTTTCCTAATTTGCCAACATTCCCAGCCTTCTTCTTTGAGTTAGCTGCTAACTGCTACTTTTTAAATCTCATGCATACCACAGCGTCAAAAGTCACACCTGTGCCGCCCATGATCCTGCCCTGCTGGTGCCCTGTTTATACAGACATTGTTTTGGTTCTGTTAATACCTCCGTTCACTGTTCAGAGGCGAGACAACTTTGTTCCCTTATTCTGCGATCATACTTTTCATACAGAGCGGCACCATGGCACGACAAAGCCACCTTGAACAGGCAGTGTGACAGGGGCTTATACTGAAGGAAAGGTTAATAATCAGTTTGTTTACTTGCTCAATAAGGATGTTTTATATGATGTCAAAAGATCAACAAATCTCAGATTGCACATTTATATTATTCAGCGCTCGCTAAAACTGTGGGGAACTGACCAGTTGAAGGTTTAGATTCCAGACTATTTCTTTCTTAGTTGAGATTGTCATGCTTTCTTCCTGCCTGTTGTGAAATCTTTAAGGTTGCACTTCCTTCATTGCTGTTGTCAGAGCAGTGTGTTTGTTGTGTGTCGAGTTGTCAGTCCCACAGTCACAGTCTCTGCAGGAGTGTTCTCCATAGAGACCTTTTGGACATTATGCTCTGCGTTCCATTAGGGTTAGATTTTAGGTAAAAGTGCACATTAGCTTTACTTGTCAAATGTTTAACTGACCCAGTTGCTGATAAAGATAACATCGTTAATGTTTTTGTTTTGTTTTTTTTCTGGCAATGTGTCGACCAATGTGGGCAAAGAAGGTAGATATATAGAAGTCCAGGTGAGAGGTGGGATGTAAATATGATAAGATTAAGACCCTAAATAAATCAAGCTGAAGAGGCTCTGGTAGGTGCAATTATCCTTTAGATATAAATCATCAAATTGTGAGCACATTTTAAATAATTATTCTTTAGTTGTATATAATCTGCACAGTCACTATTGTGCGCAGGTTGTAGCGTTGTGTGCACATGTATATATTCCCCTTTGGAGGCCACAGCCAGGCAGTTTTTAGGATTCCCAACTTGAACATAATGAATTTGCGTGTGTGCAGACACATGTGCATCATATATGCAAAGAAGGTACATAAACAAGGGTACTAATATTGTTTTGAATACATGCACTTTCTCATTTCTTTTTTGGTGTCGGCTTTGAATCAGCTTTGGATCCTGAGAGGCCATTTTCTGTGTTGTCGATCCCTGATGAAGTTACAAGGCACTCCTTACTGCAGTGGAAAAAAGAAGACAAAGTTAGAACTGTACATATGCAGAACCTTTAAAAAAAACATTTTGAGGTCGCTCCATTTAAAACCTACTTCAGCATGTGCAGTATCTGAACATGCTGCCGAGCACCAACAATGTACTCTGATGATGAAACAGTACGAAATAGGTGCATTGCTGGTAAATATCCAGGTGGCTGTGAAAACTCACTTTTTCTCCTCAAGCTTAGACATAACATAGAGAGTGAAGTTCTTGAGCAACATGAAGCCCATTAACGCTGCGATGGCTCCACCCACACACGAGGCTATGATGATGGTCAGCGTGTTGTCCACCACCCTCACTGCATACATTAACAACACACCAGAGGAATGATGATGTAGAAGAAGTTAAGGGAGGCTCTACAAAACAAACACTTACATATCACATTGTTGTGAGAGAGAGCCTATGCAGCCTTTCGTTTCTTATTCAGTAAAGTTTGGTGCCTCCACAAGAGATTAAAGCTGTAGTGTGGCCTGCAGACCAGTTGCAAGAAGAAGATGCTGACATGCACGTTTCTGCAAACCACAGATATGTTACATTTGTACGTTTCATATGTATCATAGCAACATTTCTTAAGTGATTTAGTTCTGACAACATGTATATGAGCTGTCTTTGTCATCAGAAGGTGGAGAGGATGGTGGATGGTTTGTCAGCTAGGCAACACAGGTGCCAGATGTTAAACAAAAGTGTTTTAGTGTGACATTGGTGACATTTCAAGCCGTGACTGTGGCACCAAAACCGGGTATTTTAAGCCAAAACATGATATTTTCCCAACTGTAATTGAATGTTTTTTGTGCATAATGTTGTTGAAATATAAAGACATATAAAGTTTTAACATATCTGCAACATAATAATGTACAAATGTAACATATCCATGGTTTGCAGAAACGTACAATGCCAATATTTAGGGCGCAGTCACACATTAGCGAAATTTAGACCAGTGAATATTCACCTCCCATTCACTTTCATTCAATGCAAGCAAAGGAGCAAATAAAACATTCACTTCCAGTGGCAAAGCAAATTGAAGTGAAGTAGCAGAGTCACACATTAGCAAAAACAACACATTCCTCCGGGAAGCAAACACCGGCTTCCCGGGTGAAAGTCAGTGGTTATTGGACTCATCCACCAGCCATCCTACTTGGACTTTCGCCCCCTTAACTTACGCTGTTGCCCAGCCGCGCTTCCCCCTGACAATGCCGGGTGCTGTTACACAATGATGGCAACCAGCCGCGTGTCATGTTGACATAAAAGGATGTTTTTTTCCATCAGTGTCTGACGCCGGAAGTCACTGACAAGCGTCGGAGTGAGACCAGGCTGGCAAAAAAGTTTGTATGGACGAAACACTGATTGTTGCTGTGTTGACCAGCCAATACTACATGATATTGGCTGGTCAGAGTACAAACTGCCCCACATGAGAGATGCTGCCCGGCTGGCAGTGAGTCAGCACACAGGCATGGAACATAAGAAAATGGCAAATGTACAAATAACATCATATTTTGCGGTATTTATTAGCAAGCTAGCTTTCTGTGTACAACACATCAGGCGCCGCCCACATTCAGCATGGATATCCCCTCAGCAGGTAATGGTCACTCGCCTGCATTTGCTAATGTGGGACTGTACACTTATTCTGGTGACTGGTTGTGACCCTGGCTGCAGCCATCTTCTTTACGCCTGACACACCAATACAGTGATATAAAATAGACACACAGATTGAGGGGGAGTTTATCTCATGTGACCTTTGGTCCTCTAAGACTTTTAAAGCTACTGCTGGTACTTTCTCTGATGGACTTTCTTTTGAAGAAGACGCTAATCTCTCAAGACAGATTCTGCAATTTACATTGTAGAATCTGTCGGCAGCCCTGTGTGAAAGACGACTGAGGGGGGGGGGGGGGGGGGGGGGGGGGCTTTGAGTTTGAACAATGCTGCGCTTTAGCCAATCACAATGGAGGGGGCGTGGCCGAGACGTGCAGGTGTCCCCAGGAAATGTGTACCTACAGAAGCAGCAAGCTCTGCGTCCATAGCGATCGCTCCACCCAAAACGCTGTCTCGTCACCGTGAAAAAAAAAAATTTTTTCCAGCAGATGTTTTAGTTACAACATGATTGAGCTAACTGGAGTAGTTTCATGTTGTATCCGACAACGGGAGGCTTTTAACAGATGACGTTCTGATGTTAGCTTTGCTAACTGTCCCTGTCAGCTGCAGCCACTGATGCTTTCTAGACATCGTGATTTCCCATAACTGAATAAATACCACACACAGCAACACAAAACTGCTTTGCTGAGCTCAATCATGTTGTAACTAAGATATCCGCTGGAAAAAAAATATTTTATTCGCGGAGCGTGTATTGAGTTATTACCTTATTTTTATACAGTCTGTGGTTATTACAGACATCGCTAACGGCTAACGTTAACAGCTAACGGTTAGCCCAGCTAATCTACGATAACCATGTTATTAAATACAAAACGTGCACACAGAAATAGTAACGTTTGTTCAATCATTGTGTTTATAGACTTAACAAACATCAGATTAGTCTACACGGTGATATAGTGACATGAAAAATGTGATATATAGCTAAACTCTGCTGGTTTCCTACCCAAAGTATTTGTAAACAACACAGCGGTTCCCTGGGGGCACCGCCGGAAGTGAAGGGCGTGAGCGATTGCCGAGGCCCCTGCACTTCTATTAGTCGAAAAACTCCGGGCTGTGCCTCCAGAGGTAAAGGAAGAAAAAAAAATTTTTTTTGTTTGTTTGTTTGTTTTTACCGATGGATTTCCAGATTGAGAAGAGGCTAATTAATACGTTTATTTTTAAATCAAACATCTTGTCAAAACAGCACTGAAACCTATTAGAAGTGATGAACAAGAAGTGCCTGATTATAAATGCTTAAAAACCAGAGAATGCTTACAGTGGCTTAGTTAGAAAGAAGGGTTATCAGCTATCCTGGTGTGTGTGTGTGTGTGTGTGCGTGTGTGTGTGTGTTGTATATGTGGCCTGATTTATTTCATCATCAACATATGAATGAATGCATGTTCTACTTTATTTTCCCTTCAGTATGCACACTATGGGGCCGTGGAGCGAGCCCCAATGAGTTGTCCCACATTTATGATTAGCCAATATATAGTATGTCAGGGCATATAGTTAAACTAAAAATATAAAGTGTTGTCAGATTAGGCAGTTTTCCACATACAGTAATTAGGCTCATTTTTTATTTTGCTGAAAGGGGCAGAAAAATGGTTAAAGATCATTTAGGCAGGTTTTTAAAACTATGTCGACTTCATATATAACTTAAAATGATAATAAAATGTTTATGTATAACGTAAGAAAAATCAAGCAGGCCCCTCCCTCACATATCAGCACACATTACCAGCAAAGACCTTGATCACTCACGCTCGTCCACCACGATGAGGTTGAAGATGGCGCTGTGGTTCCTGCCCTTCTCTTTGGGGTTCCGTCCAAAACAAGTGTACTGGCCTCCGTCCTCGAAGGTGATGTTCCACAGCAAGATGGAGATGTTGTTTTTATGGTTCTTCCCCACAAACTCCACCCGTTCACGATATATAGCTACATGTGGCTCCACCTCCTCTGACGCTATCACTGAATCACACACCTGATAGGACCAGCAAGCTGTCAGTCATCCAAAACTACCACTTAATAAGTTCTCTGAACACAAATCCTTCTCTTAAACAGGGGGTTCATACCTTCTGCATGGTGCCGTTGTCATTGAACTGCCAGCTGAAGTAGAGATCCTCGATGCCGATACAGCTGGCGTATGTGCAAGGCAACATGACTGTGCTGCCATTCACTGCCTGCAGGAAGGGAATCTTCCCAACAGACATCTCAAGGGCCTGAACAGACCACACACCTGAGGTGGGAGGGGAATAGAAAACACAACATGATAAGACTACACAGGGTATGAGCAACCCAGTCTCATTCCCAGGTCGGCAAATACCGACACTTTGTCACACCCCTCTGCGTCTCATACCGACGTTGAAGGCAATCTTCAGCATCTTTATGTGATGCACGTTGATCTCTTTGGTAAAACACCTTGTAACACGTTGTTAAGTCTCTGAAATGATTACATACCTGGCAACTAGGCAACAAAAGTACTTGGATAGGTTTAGAAAAAGATCATTTCAAGGTCATTTCACAGACGTGACACTGTTAATAACTGACCTTGTTGACTTTTGGTTTCACATGGAACAAGGACAGTGTCTCCTGGATCAAAGTCTGTGTTTTAAATGGCGCATCCACTATGCCTCCCTCCCACCCTCCTCAGACTCTCTTGCTCTGAGTCAGTTGCTTCTAGTCAGCTATTGTTGCTGATGGGTTTACATTTGAATTAGCTGAAAGCCCAGTGGAAAAACAACACCAAAGTGTGAAAATGGCAGGTTGCAGTAGTCTGGGAGGTTTTGCGCCAGATTTCTTGCCTGGGAGCAGTGACTTCCTAAAGTCTTGTTGACACTGTAAGAAAACCAACAAATACTTTAAAAAAGTTTCCCCCAGGGTAAAAAAAAAGTCTTGATTTGTTTCCTTTGGATAGAACTTGTCAAGCCGTATGTATTAGTTTCATTCAACTTTTAATGACATTCACACTAATTAAGTCTATTACTACTTTTTCAATTTTTCTAAGTAATTCACCCTTTCTTACAAAATTAAGCCAGCACTGCAGTGTAGCATCAGCTTTTAAAAAACCTTTAAATATTCCACAGTATTGCTAGAATTTAACTTTTCAATGACATTCATAATACTTAAACTTATTCACACTTTCTAACTATTCTTACAACTTCACCTTCTTCTTAAACATTTAAGCCAGCATTGCAGTGTAGCATCAGCTTTTCAAAAACCTTCAAATATTTCACAGCATTGGTGTCATTCAACTTTTCAGTAACATCCATACTAATTAAACCCCTTACCACTTTTCCAACTATTCCTATTACTTCACCTTCTTACACATTTAAAGCAGCAATTCAGTGTAACTTCAGCTTTTCAAGAACCTTGAAAAATTCCACGGTATTAGTTTCATTCAACTTTTAATGACATTCACACTAATTAAGTCTATTACTACTTTTTCAATTTTTCTTAGTAATTCACCCTTTCTTAAACATTTCTTAAACATCAGCTTTTCAAAAACCTTTAAATATTCCACATTAGGGGTATCATTCAACTTTTCAATGTCATTCATATGAATTAGACCATTTCCACTGCTGAAACTATTCCTTTAACTTACTTTATTCTTACACATTAAAGGGAAATTTCGGTTTATTTTAACCTGTCTCCTATCGTCCTAAATTTGTTTCAAGTGACTAGTGACATAAAAATAATAGTTAGCATGTTAGCCGTTAGCCTAGATACAGCCGGGGCGCATAGTAGCGTCAGACCTGTTAAAACGTAAGTGAACGGGCAACCTTCAAGTGCAAAGTTAGTCCACTAAACAAGCTTTTTTTCCACAAAGACCGCCTCATATCGTTAGGATAAATGTCAGAGAACATATAGAAAACAACATGTAAACGTGTTGTCTTACCTTACCGGTGTGCTGCCATGTTTGTTTACCATTTAGCTCTGCTTTCCAAAGCGTGGCCGAAATATATCTGGCGATCTCTAGATAAAGCCCAGCTGGATACTACTCCAGGTGGAGGTGTCTCGTCCTCGGTCACATCCAGACCTTGAAAATAAGGCTGCAACCGGTCCCATTCCTTGCAACAGAGGCATTCCTCTTCTGTGGGCACTGGGGCACAGCATTCACAGGTACACCACCAATCTCCAGAGCTACGCAGCCTTGCAGCAGCCATTCCTCCTCTCTCGTCCTCTACCTGTTGCGCCTCTCTCTCTCCTCCTCCGTTCTTCAATTTCACGAAGCTCTTCGTCAGTGTGTTCTGGCTCAAATAAATAAGGGCGGCCATCAAACTCTGCAAAATCAAATTCCTCCTCCACAAAGTCAAAGTCTGGCAAAAAGTCAGCCATTATTCTTTAAATCTTTCATAAAATAAACGAATGAACTTTTCAGGCTACTGTCCGGTTCTGCCTTCCAGCTGTTGCTGCTTGTTCTCGCGATATTTCGGTCGTGCTTTGGAAAGCAGAGCTAAATGGTAAACAAACATGGCAGCACACCGGTAAGGTAAGACAACACGTTTACATGTCGTTTTCTATATGTTCTCTGACATTTATCCTAACGATATGAGGCGGTCTTTGTGGAAAAAAAGCTTGTTTAGTGGACTAACTTTGCACTTGAAGGTTGCCCGTTCACTTACGTTTTAACAGGTCTGACGCTACTATGCGCCCCGGCTGTATCTAGGCTAACGGCTAACATGCTAACTATTATTTTTATGTCAGTAGTCACTTGAAACAAATTTAGGACGATAGGAGACAGGTTGAAATAAACCGAAATTTCCCTTTAAAGCCAGCAATTTAGCATTGCATCAGGTTTTCAAAAAACCTTGAAATATTCCACCAGTCATACATTAATGGTATTATACAAAGTTTAAAGCCAGCATTGCAATGTAGTGTCAGCTATTCAGCATGCAGCATTCACACCTGCAAGTATCTCTGTAACCTCAGCCTTTAAGTTTTGTGCCACAAAGGAATGACTCACCACTGATTTTTTTTTTCCTTTATAAGATGTTCTACATTTGCCATTGATTATGTCGTACACAGTATCTGCGATTAAATCTTTTTCCAAATTAAAAGCTTCAGACTCACTGCACTTTGTGCACATGCTCCCTGGACTTGTTTTGTAATCACATCACAAAACTAGTCTGGTCTGTTTAGCCAGTTTACATGTGAACAGTGACAGTGAATCTGCCTCATACACACACAAAAAAAAACACTTGAACACAAGACTTAAAACTTCTCCCATGCATGACTGATCTCATGAAATCTTTTTTCTGACAATATTTATATAATTTTAGGTTAACGTACTAACACTGTATGTTACAGGACAATGTAATAGGCATACATCATAGATTATTTATCGTAACGACTATTCAAGCTAACTTTAATGAACTTAAGAACACATTATAACATACATACATGCATACATACATACATACATACATAATACGTCTGTTATTGGCACTTGGGTAGTTGAAGCCCCAGTAACATGACACCACAAAGTCCTCACTGTGACATTGCTGTAAATAAGAGAGGGCGAAAGCTGAAGTGCTTCTTGTAAGAACTGTAACTGTACACCTGACCACACAGCATCAGGAAGTCACAGTGATGAAATCTTACTTCCAATCAAAACAGATGGGCAGGAAAACCATCTCTTTTATCGTTTGTCCATTCCTATTTACTCATTAGGTCTAGCCTTGGCAGGTATTCCACCTTCCCATGTAGCTGCATATCCAGCAAGGTCACAGGTAGTGCAGAGCTACAGTATATAATTTCAGCAGGTCAAGGACAGATTGGCCTGTAGGTCTGTTCTCTCCCTCTTTTACACTGTCAGAGCTCCTCGTGCTTAATGCTTCCGCCTTGTGCCGACTGTGCAGAACTAGTAAACGTGCAAAGGTTATACAGAGAAAACACCACTGACACCTGAATAAGATGAATGGTTTCAGGAGCAGCTGTACTTCCTGCACTGCCTCTAACATTGCCACAATTCTGCCGTCTGTTTGGTGCACATTGTGTTACACTTTGCCCATAACACGGTCAAGGTCAACACCTGACAAGCACCGTTGCAGCAAATAGGAATAACATTGCAAAGACCAGCAGATGGGGCTTCACACAGTGAAGGAAGGCACAGCGTATTGATTCATTCTCATCTCACTCTTGCTATCTCGCAAAACTCACTCTGTCCAATCTTCTTCCTCAGCTGGTTCAATGCAGCACAGTGAGCTTGCAAAAACAGTAATAGCAACAGTGATGAGAACAACAGCATCACCCTCCCATCTCTTTCCTCGTGCACATTTCATAGTGTCACTCCGGCTTTTTTAACAACCTGTTACGATATTTTTGTGTAACATGCCGTTTTCATTCTTTCTATCTCGTGTCCCTCTGTGTGTGTCCTTGAAGAGTAGCCTGTCTCTGTCACTGTAGCTGCTGAAGCTGCTGTCACAAGACCACGAGCAAAACAAGTTGAATTATATCATAAAGTATCTGTATCTCTTTGTGTTTTGTCTCTGACAACACCCAGATATTACTCTCCCTTAAAACAATAGTCCACTACTATTATCTCTTTTTGAATTTCATACTAAGCTCTGTAATTCAAGTTGGTTTCTTTTTAAGTTTGAAGTTTTCCACAATAAAGTTTTGGTGCTTCAGATGAAAGTAGAACAGGGATGCTCCAGTTTCTAGCCTATATATGTCAACTTCAGAATATCAGCATGCTCTCCACATCATTTCTTTAAAACACGGAGTATATCCAAACAGTAATAAACTATTAGATGCTGATACTGAGCTCCATATTTAGGATAAAATTGTGTAAACTAATGATTAAAAAAAAAGGAACACATAGTGTAAATAGATGATGTTAATGTTGATCCCTGCGATTAAACAAATTCTAATCAAGTTACATCCTAAATCTCCGGTGGATAACAATGTAATGGTGACACTGTTTCTAAATGACCTCAGTTTTATTTCAGCATTTCTTTACTGCAGTTTCTTGTTACTTAACGGTTGATATTTACACCAATGCAAACATACAGTATCTGCAACAAGGTAATATTGGCTGACCACGCATGAATGCACTAGTTTGAGATATCAAGACTAAGATTTTAGGAAGGGATGAGAATCAATCCTACTCATTAGAGGTCAAAGGTGTGACAGAAGTGTAAGAGACATACACAGTTTTGAATGGTCAGGATGTCGAGGAACAACACTAGATGTCTGATAAAGACGAACATAATTAAATCTGAACCTGAGCAGCCTGTGTTGGCAGCCAACATGCAGACACATACGATCACCACAGCACTGTTGATGGTTTATACACAGTATAATGATGATGCTTAGCTGCAGCTGCAGCAGCATCGTTCTCTCTGCAACTCCTTCACCTGCATCTGCACATTAGGTCGACTCTGCAGTTTTTGTTATAAGCTGAAAAAATATTTGTTCTAAATAAGGATGACACCTGTGAGCAAGAAATAGCTACGTTAAAATGTTGACTTGGCAACACATTTCCACTGACACGTCAGCTCATGAGTGCATGAGGGAGCTGAATATGTTAATTTAATTTAAAATTAAAAATGTGATCAACTCTACTGAACTGAGAGTGTTATAAGGTACACATAACGTCACAGACCAGCGTCTCATGGTGGTTTATCTTTTTAATGCGTGCTTACTGCACTACTGCTGCAGTGATGCTCCACACCCATAGGCAGGCTCAGACAATTTCAAGAAGTTTACCGTTAGTAATGGCTGAAGGAACACTGTTATACAGAGATAACATGTATGTTTATGGATTTGTTTTACTTAAGATAGTTAATTAAAAGAAAATGTTAATGCAGGATAAATGCAGGACGGCAACATCTATGCCAGCGTACGCAGGATATAGACGTGTCAGCTTTGACTGAAATTGGATTTTAATGGGATGTTTTTTTCTTTCGGTTAAGGAAACTCTTTCTTGGTGATGTCTGGTTGGGTGTCGTCTCAGACAAACCGAATCCAATACTCACACCTGATACTCTATATCCAGAGCACCATAGTCCACATGGTAAGAGCTTATCACCACCATCAGTCTCAGATCTGCCTGTCGACTTACTTGAAACAACAATGTCAGATGTGGATACTGTTCTGTCACTGCAAAGGAGTTCATTCTCATATAGCTTGAAACAGGAGTTCATAACTCAAATAAAACTGATGTTTTACTGGACGCTACTAAGAGTGACTCTGCTGCACAGTTACTGCAAATACATCTCTTGTTAAGCCCAATATGCTGTGACCGGCAGGGCCTCATCGAGCGCCAACCATCTGACACAGCTTTTGTGTCTCAGGGGCCACTGTAATGTGCTGACATTTGAGTTTGTGGACATACAATCCCAATCCAACCAACATGATAACGCCAAACTGATTGATTGCCACAACTATCAGCCAAAGACTTCTTTTAACCCTCTTCCTCTGTGTGTTTCCAGGCAGAACCAGCAGCACATTTTGCCCATGAGATGAAACATGCAACCTCCAGAAAATCCTCACAAGTAAACTAGTCTTGTCACCAAAGCAAAACCCTCCTGCGAATCCTAGTGTGCTGACACACGTCATACAGAGAACTGCAGCCATCACCTACACAAGTCAGAAGCTGATGAAGGTCAGTGTCAGATATGGAAAATCCACAGCATCATTGCTCTGCATAACAACACAAATGTGCCCCGATATCAACAAAAACTTTTGGTATCTAATAAAGAGTGAGAGACAAAAAGAAGTTTTCAAAAGAGGGAGATGAGGAGGCACCATGCACATCATCTGTGGTTAGCAATCATGGAGCAAATAAAAGGAGATGAGGTAAAGTGAGGTAGACATTACCAAGCAGCACAGAGAAGATCAGGCCGAGGGCTGTGTGTGGAGGGCCCAGCCTCAGGGGTTCAACCCCAACCCTCTGGACCTCCATGGCAGCCAGATCTGCTCCAAAACAAATACTGCTGCAGGGTCCAGTCCAGGCTCTGGAGCGCTCAGAGAATATCCCTCAGCACAACTTGGCCTCTTTGGTATAGTGGAGTAAATCTGGAAGATGCTGTGTGAGTGTCTGGAGCCCAAATGAGGCACGTCCCAGTTGCGCAACACGCTACACTAGTCCCGGGGGTAGAGAGCCTGCCTGCCTGCCTGCCCCCCCCAACACTTCTGTCAAAGAGACTGTAGGTTAGACAGAGGGCAAAGGAGGAGGACGGAGGAGAGGAACAGAGAGAGGAGGAAAAAGTTATTCAGCTGGAACTGAATATCACTATAAAGGCAACGACAGTACAGGAAAAAGTTACAGTTTTGTACAGATATGGAGTGTGTTTGCATGCATGAGTCCACATACACACCCTATATCTCTTTGCCTGATATATAAAAGAGGTCAAGCTGAAGGAAAAAACGTGCAAAGTTCAAGGTTTGTCATGCGTACCTGCTCCTGCAGCCGGGGTCCGCTCAGAGGCCGGCAGGCTGCCTGCACAGCTGAGTCAGTGTGGACAGGACAGCAGCGGAGCGGCAAACACTGCGCACAGTCAGGGTTCACTCAAGGAGAATCCACCAGCCAGCACTTTCACTGCAGAGCCAGCCACGTTGCAGCGCCAGCCAGGATGAGAGACAATTAGAAAGGGGGAGACAAACAGAAAGACAGGCAGAAACATAGAAAGACAGACGGACAGGAGGAGAAGCCGCTGCTTTCATCCCTCCTCAGCAGAGCACCAATGACGCTCACTCTTATCATTGCCCGTCCCTCTGGCTACCTCACAACTTTTCCCTGTCCTCTCTGTTGGCTGCATGCCACCGCTCTCTCTCTCTCCCCTCATCCCTCTGTCTCCCCTCCCTCACCTGCCCCAGTATCCCTCTTCTTCTCTTTCTCTCCTGCATCACCCCTCGTTCACTCCTCCTCTCTCTGCTCCCCTCCCTCACCCTCCTCCCCATCTCCTGACTCGGGGTGTGTATGCAGACTCAGGCACTTTTGTCGGAGTGTTTGTGAAGATCAGAGAGAAAAGTTCTGCAGTGCAGGTTGAGGAGGGGTGTGTGTGATGCAGCCCCAGGACCGGCCCAGACACACAGTCCCATATCAGAATGCTCCATTCATAAATACACATGTTCTTTCACTGATAACCTCATCATTAAGATATCACAACTGAGCATCACAGAATAATCTCATCTATCTATTTTTGTTCTAACACAATTTAAATGTCTGATTTTTACCTGGAATGTGACTTTAAAAGCTTTTCCCGTCCTTTATTTTCAAACTCCCTCCCCAGATAGACGGAGTAATGCTTCTCTATGAGTCTCCTCTCCTCTTTTCCTGAAAGACAGGCTCACATTCCCCTTCCTCAGGATAATCAACACCCACAGCCACCAGTAATGTATGTACTAAGTGTGTCCCATTCAGTGCCTAGAAGGTCAAACTGTCTTGTGTAGCATGAGGCGTTCATTCCTCTCATGTGATCAGTGCAATGCAGCTGCAAGTGCATTATAATATGAGGCAGAGTGTGCAGTCTTTTTTCACAATGGGACAGCTCCTTTCCCATAAATGTACAACCGCATCAGTCATCAGCAGCAGAGCAGTAGCGTCTGTCTGCACTACTCACTGCAGGACATGACAGAAGGAGTGCTTAGCTCAGAGCTTCCAGATTTGATTAGTCAATTTTAGACCTGGCTAACACTGCAGTCATACACTTAAGACTGTACAGTGTGCCCATCCATTACTGGAATTAGAAGGTGACGATACGGTAATAATGTCTTATTGTTATTAGTGTATTAGAAGGCAAATGGCAGGTGAGAGGTTAATCAGAGCTTCAGATTGGGGAAACAAAGGAAGAATTATGAGTGCTAACTGAATGCAATTGAGACCACGTGACAGAGCGCACATTCTGAGCTGAGGTACAGTTACACAGGCAGAGGACAAGGAGACAACTACACATCCATTTTGGACTTAGCTTTTTGTTCACAGGAGAAGAAAAGGTCATGTCTGCAACTCTGAAGGGCTGTACTGAACTTTACATTGACAGATTAAACTTCACCTATGAAGACAGATGCAGTCATTTGCCATGTAAGCATATCCTGTACTTAACTTACTATGCAAGCACTTAACACCGTGATGTATTATTCATTGAGCAGGTTATTGGCATCTTTTTTCTTTAGTAGCTTGTGCAATGACTTTTCAAATACCTATCATTTGTCTTGTGGTAATTATGTGAAGTATGTCTAATTCAGATGTCAGCTGTTACACTCTTGCATTATATATATAGTTTGGCAAGATTCAGTAGAGCTGGATAGTGAGGAGGAAGGAGGAACCTGACACAAATGACTAAGCAAAACTATTCAAAACCAGCAGCAATACCTAAATTAAAGTCTTATGTGTGTCATGAGCTCATGAGTGAACAAATTCACCTCGTGTTTAATTAAACTGTGTGAGACTGTATCCAGTTAGAGCCTGCAGAGTCGAAAGGATTACAAACATGCACCAACAATGACCACTGTTCTGGTACATAATGAGCACATGCAAATAAATGAAGCGTGGTGCGAGGTGACAGTGGGTGGAGTGGGTGGCGGTATTACGGATGTGGAGCTCGAAAGTGAGAGATCATGTGGCTGGGCTGCGGGCTCACTGCTCTCCTCTCCAGGCCCCTCCACTGGAGTATCAATGCAGCAACGGTGGGAACTCTTCCAGAACTGCAAAGAAAAAAAAAACCAACAGCATTTTGCTGCAGAAAGACCGAGCGCTGCTGCAGGACAACTGCAACCACACAGATAGTCACACAAACACAGCCACAAGATCTTATTACTATTACTATACAGATAATTATTACATGCCCCATATTATGATTCATAGATGCCATGTAGGGGCACCCTCAGCCTTTAAAAGCACATATAAGGTGTCATTTGCCCTTACTGCAGCAAAATGTGTGCTGCCCCAAAGGAATGACACAAGGACACACGTCTCCGCTCTCCTGTACATTAGTGACGTAGACCGACACAAGTACTCACAAAATGAAAACATAAACTCAGTGGTGGAAGATAGATTTCAGATCTTTTATGTATCAGCACAACACAGTAAAAAAAAATACAAGTAAAACCCCTGCATTCAAAACGTCTCTTTATTCACACGAAATGAGACAAATAATGTGTGAAAAAATTATACTCATCTTGTACTGCTTTAAATGGCCTTACTGCATGTGGACCAAAACAACCAATCAGAGCCGAGGAGCCTCTAACGCAGCTGTCCGTTAGGTCAATCACTGCTCGTCTGGTCAGACTGTCAAACTAGGCAGCGCTGATCGAATATGAATCAACATTCTGTCACTGCATTGCCTTTTTCTAACCTTAAATGTTTCAGAAATGTATTGTAGTGTACTGTTTAGCTGTAAAATGAAAAAGTTGGTCTGGCCAATAGGCGGTGATGGTACTCCAGTCAACTGCTTCCAACACGGTGGCCACAGGTCACAAATGTTCCCATTTTACAGCTAAACAGTACACTGAACTGTGTTTCTGAAAACATTTGAGGTGAGAAATGGGCAATGCAGGAACATAATCTGAATTCATATTTAATCAGAGCTGAAGTTTGACTTGATTCACAGCTGTGTTAAAGACTCCTCGGCTCTGACTGGTTGTTGCTAAGCACACGGACTGATTCTAGCAAATGCCATTAGTGGTTGTAGGAAGAGGAGGAAGGATATGACTTTTTTTTCCACAGATCATCTGTCTCAGGTTCTTCTTTCTTCAAATATGACACAGAGTTATTTTCATGAAAGTTATCAACTGTAGTTCTCAGTCGAAATACAGACACATCATCAAGAAAATGTACTTTAAGTAAGAAAAGTTAAAGTAATTTTTGAACAGAAAATCGTCCCTGTGACATTTCATGATATTATCAGATGCATCAATTGACCTATGGCTAAGCCCCGCCCTCAAACGCGATGAGCCAATCACAGTGCGTATAGCCATTCCCATACACTGGGACATTCTCTGCCTGGACGTCCATTGAAATGCATTACAGAAAGTCAGTTTGTTCGGTTTTATGAGCTTTTTCTGAGATTTGAAGTTTAAAAATGGTCAAACGGTGTGCATGGGGTACATGCAACTCTGACACAAGGTATCCTGAGAGGCTGGGCGACCAGGTGTATTTTTTACACTTTAAACCACATCTCAACCGAGAAAAGTGTCTCCTTTGGATAAAGTTGTGTGGTAACGTTAGACCACAACATCAACTCAACGTGAATAAGATTAACAATGATGTCTACATCTGTTCTAAGGTAAGTCAACATTGTGTTTGAGGCAACATATTGTCACTTTGCTGGAAAGAAATATAAAGTTATCTTTAACATCTCTAGCTAACGTTAGCTAAAGTTAGCCTAACGTTAGCTCCTAGCTGCGTTGTTCATCATGTCACCTTGTTTGCTGGGAGTTCATTAGCCTATTTTGTTCTAGTTTTGTACTTTGGTGATTGTACATCATTGTTAGCTGTTGTCCAAAGGGCTCTAGTTAAGCTAACGTTAACTTCTGGAGCTTAGCTTCATTAACTTATCTGTAATGGCAGAGATAACAAAGGTTGGCAAACGTTATGCTGAATGATTCAGTGTAAATACTGTAGCACCAAACTAACGGAGAGACACTCTTGGTAAAGATGGTAAAAAGGCCGTTATCCTTTTCTCATATTCTGAGCCAAAAACCTTAACTTCAGTGGCACTTTAAACTTGTTGTCTTTGATGGTGACGGCAACCAGATGCGGTTCACAAGCGTACACTGTGACCTGTAAATTTTGGCTTGTAATTTAAGCTTTTCATCGACCTTCTCAACAATAAAATGATGAATATATCCCTCCAATGCGTAGTTTAGGCCCTTTTGGTTACTTCTCAATGACATCTGATCGTTATGTCTCCAAAAATCATCAGTTGCCTCCTGTGAAATGCCGTGTACTGTGACACCTGCCATAGCGCCGCTCACTGAATGTTGATAGTTTGTCTGAGTGAGTGGAGGGGGCGTGGCTTAGCCATAGGTCAATTGACTGTTAGACAACTATTACCCATCATTAAGTGCTCCTTCCTCTCGCTGGTCATTTGTTAAAAAACAAGGTAATCAGCTGTAAGAGGTCTTTAAATGTTCTCCATGTGTTGAACAGAACCTGTTCAACACGGCATGTTTTCATTCCATAAGATGTATAATGTACACTGAGCAAAAGAGTCAGTGTGGAGAGGCGTGTGGTTTACAACAATCTTGTGTCTTCCGACAGGTTCCCACGTTTCAGGTTAGCATTTCTCTCCACCTTGACTCCGTAACAGTCTACTGTTGAGTTTTTTTCTTTTCTAAGAGGATGGATTTAAAGAAATGGCTTGTGTTTAAAGTTAAAGAAAAAAAAAAAATACTGAAATACCATTCAGGACTACGACAATGGGAGTTCATGATGCCACCAGGGGGTGATGTATCCTACATGCCTCCTCTGTTGTTTTTACAAGTTAATGCTCCAATCACAGCACTGGAAAAGCACTCAGATTTCCAGTGAGTTGTAATGTGAGTGACAGTGAGGCCTGTGGTATCTTCATGATTTTTAAGTAGGTGTTTACTGAAACTACTCAAAAAAAGGTCCCACTGATATTATTTCAACCTGTTTACGATACAAATCAACTCATTTCCAAACAGGCAGCTCCATTTATGCACTGTTCAATCTGAAAAGTGAATAAACTCAGAGCTTTACTCTGCCAGGCCAGGCAGGAAGTGTGTCTGTAACTCATTGTTATGTGTGACACATAGAGGAGTGGCGATGATTGGAATTTCACACTCACCCACCCAATCTGTTTCCCCACACTAAACTTTTTCTTTTAAATGAAATACACTTATGCAACTTGATCATTTCAAAAACAGTTCTTTATTGCAGTGTTGCTAAATAGAGATAGATATGACATATCAGGACTTTAATTTACAAAAAAGTGTAAAGTTCTGCTCATTTTACATTATGTACAAAATCTAAATACAAAATCACTCGCACAGCATTGCCAGCGTAGTAAACAATTGTTTAATTGTTTATCACTCATAAATCTCACAACAGCACCTCACTCTCCTGTTTCCTTTCCAGTAGCATGCAAACCCTTTTGCAAAGACACACAGTGAAGCAGTTGATCTGTTTCTTATTCAAATTTTGGTTTCGTTTTATTGAACCAACAAGGAAACATTTACTCTGGCAACACCGCAGTTGCACAAACACTGTCTGCACTAGTAAGGGGTGGTTTTAGCTATGAGCCAAATTACGCTGGCTCTTCTCTTTAAAAATCTATAATTCATTTATTCCACATGAAAATTCAACAACATTGATCGAAGGCAAAGGATTTTCAGCAGTAGCTGTATGGAAATCCAGTCAAATCAGCACAAAGGAGCAAAGTTAACAGCAGTCATGTACAACAAACTCACATCCACTAATCTACATCCATAAAACACACAGATATTAAAGGGGAACTCCGCCCCTTATACATATCAATCTGCTGACAGGTGGGGGGGTGCTACTGCATGTGAGAAACAATTGTATGCTATAAAAGCCTTTTGTAGCTGCAGAGGGAGCTGTGATTAGTCAGATAAACTGCCTCACATGATGTCACTGGAGTCAGTGTCAGTCGGGGCTGAAAACTGGGTCTTCATTGATGAGTTTGAAAATGAAAAAAACCTGGGTGTTAGAAACAAGTTGCCGTATCTCTGCAGCCTGCTTTTCATTTTTGAGTGCGGCTAGAAGCTCGGGGCTACATTAGCCGCTACAAGCAATTACGCATGCGGATCTCTGACCAAACTGTTGGCAGATGAGGAGCATTGTGGGTAATGGAGGCGCCAGGCTTTGACATGGAATAATGTCTATAAACAGATATCTGCACAAGTGTGCAGGATCTGTAGGCAGAGGGGCAAGATCTTGATATCAGAAGTGTTCTGGTTTCCGTTTGTTGTCCACTGTAGTCCGAGTAGTGTTAACGAATCACGTTTGAGTGACAGGTAGACAGTCCGTGTGGAGATGCAGAATGCATTGGCCAAAATGCAATCTCAGAACTCATCAGCTATTGTGTGATGGTGTTTTTCTTTATATATGTTTTTTGTTGTTTTTTGGTCTGCACTGATATGCACATATCTGTTTATAGAGATTACCCTATGACAGTCTTGGCCCACGTAACAGCTGGCTACACCGGATCTAGCTAAAATATTGGCAGCTGCCCCCAGAGGGTTCTTGTCCTCCGACCGATAACCAATGGGTTCCATCATTGGACAAGGAAGGTGTTTAATAAAAAGGACGATATTTCTGATTCTACTGCTTCAGATTTGACACTTTTTTTAATTACATCATGAGTCCAGCAGTGTCGTAGGAGTGCAATGTTAAATCAGTGGAGTACTCTCTTAACGTTTGCTGTAATTCAGAAACCATGAAGCACTGAACTCTAAAAAAGTACAATAAATTACGCATCATCTAAACATTTAAATCATGTAAACAAATAGCAAAAAAGTCTGATGGTAAAACAGGAAAGATAGTTCTAATCATTCGAGTATGTCGATTAAATCATCACCACCATCATCATCGTCGTCATCATCATCATCATCGTCATCACCGTCAAGGCCTTCCTCTTCATCATCATCTCCACTGCTGCCTTCAGACTCTTCATCATCTGAACTATCAGCCTCTTTCTTCTTTGACACAGCCATCAGGTGAACAGCCTCTTCAGGTGAACTAACGCAGCCCCCGCAAACAAATGCAATCACACGCATGCAGCATGCAGACACACACACACACACACACACAAAGGTAAACAATGAAACAGGCAACTCATGGATATCTGGCTGCATGGAAAGTGTAGCAAATAACAAAAAGCCCGCACTGGTTTACCTTAGCAAACATCCATTGCAAAAATAACAGAGATAGACACTGTAAAGAATACAATACCCAGAATCCTAAGCTTGCAACGAACCCAGTCAGAGTGCCACAGAGAATTGATGTACTGCGTCCTTCCGAGGACAGAGATGACCAAAACATCAGTTCATGAACGTTTCTCCACCAAAACCAGTTCATGCTTCTCTGGGTCTAAAATTCCTGTGTTCACAAATTCAAGTGGCACAAACTGTGAAGCAGCAGTTGTTGTTGCAGCTGCTGCTTCACAGAGAGAAGGGAAGGCTCTACCAAGAAAAGGGTTAATCAGTACCATAGCTTTAAAACACAAACCGTCAGTAGCAGGCAGTCGAGAGGATATGACTCAATTCACCGCAGCAGTATCATGTACGTCTGATGATTCAGATAAAGCATAATTCTACACATAGCATCATGAAAAAACTAATAATTTAAATGATAAAAGAACAAATTTGGTGCAGTCAGCACTGCTGCTGTGAATTGAGGTCAATGAGCAAGCTCCAAGAACAGCATGTACAAATCCCTCCATATTTACATCTCCTATAGGAAGAGTTCAGATTTTTTGAAGTGGGGCTGTGTAAGAGGTATTTATCCATAGTCAGTGAATAACACACAGTAGACGACAGCACGCACCTAGTTTGGAGAAGCAAATGTAAGTATCACCACAGAAGCTAAGCAATATACTGCTGTGGGTGCAGGCAGCAGCAAAATGTATTTTAGCCACTTGACAAAATCTAAACCAGTCGAAGTGAACAATATGTTGAGAATATTTTCACCACTTGTGGTCAGACAGAGTCTGTCTTCACCACACTTATACTGCGCACTGTATTACTCTGCAGGTTAGGTGTCTGGGTCAGACTTTGTGACAATGATTACAAGAAAATAAAAAAACTGCGGGATTATGACAGCAACGACAAAGTGCTAAGGAGGGGAAAGTTCTGTGGAAACTGGAAGCCAAGAAAGAGCAGAAGCTGAACTGTAAACGCATGCTAACAGACCCAGAAAGCTTCTGCTGCCATGAATGGGACTTGGTTACGACACAGCGTCAGGATCTTTCTGAATCAGAAGATGCCACGCTTCACACTTCACTAGCTGTTTGGAAAGTTGTTTCATGTATTTGAAATTTAGTGTAATTTTACCTGATGGTAGGGCAGAGCAGTGCTCTTCAGCAAGTGTCTCTCTCTCGCTCATTTGGCTGTGGTTTAAAATAACCACTCAAGTTAAATGTTCACTGCAAACGCTGAGTTGTCTTAGTCTTGTGGTTGGAGTGCCGATGTCTATATTCAGTGTAACTCACCACAGCTGGTTTCATTTCTTTGTTTCAACAGCCCGAAAAACACAAGCATGCACCATTCACCAAAAGTGAAGTTTTGTTTCAGTCGGATCGTGCAACAGCACTTACTGACCCCGACAGATGACCTTCAGCATGATACAGTGCATCGCACAGTTGCGTAGGAATACAGGAGTCTAAGACTTGAGAAAATGTAGTGCCAAAGGAAAGGGCTGTTTGAGGGGAAGGTGAAGTAGTGGGTACGAGGGGGTAGCATCACAACTCCACCTAATGGAGGCTGACGGCGCCCCAGATTCAAACGTCCAAAAACACATAATTGAAACCACAAAATATCTCCATACTGCTCGTCCGTAGTGATCCAAGTGTCCTGAAGCCCCGACATAAAAAGTTGTTTGGAAAAACGTCATTTGAACTCTGTTTTTAGCCTCATTGTAGCCTGTAGCTCTGACTGCCTCTCTGGGCACCACGCTCACGTGTGCACTTGTGTGTGAGACCAGCAAAAGCACGTGAACACACATGAAGGTGGTGCCCATGTCTCACGGTCTTGTGCAAGCGCACACACGTTGAGCACAGTGCCCAGAGAGGCAGTCAGAGCTACAGGCTACAATGAGGCTAAAAACAGAGTTCAAATGACGTTTTTCCAAACAACTTTTTATGTCGGGGCTTCAGGACACTTGGATCACTACGGACGAGCAGTATGGAGATATTTTGTGGTTTCAATTTTTGGATGTTTGAATCTGGGGCGCCGTCAGCCTCCATTAGGTGGAGTTGTGTTGCTACCTCCTCTCCCCTTGGATCTCTGCAAGTGATGTGAGGACTCTAAAACTTCACCTGAGCCTCCCTCGGCATATGGGTGAGTAGATAATGGCTGAATTTTCATTTTTGGGTGCACTATGCCTTTAAGTTGATATTGATTATTTTTTTAAGATGGACTATTTTTTTAGGTGGCTAAAATACATTTTGTCGCTGCCCCCTATCCACAGTAGTGCACTGCTTAGCTTCTGTGGTGGTACTTGCGTCTACCTCTCCAAAGTGGAGGCGTGCTGATTGGCATCTACTGTAGATAATACACAGACTGTGCTTAAGTACCTCACACAGCCCGAGTTTACAAAATCTGAACTATCCCTTTAACAGTTTTAAAAACTCTCAGTAAAATTAAGTAAGTAATTACAATCACTGGCAACTGTTGTTAAAAACATATAAAAGTGTATCAAGATTTGGCAACAAAACAAATGGAAGGGTGACACATTACATCTCTAATACTGACGGAAACAAACTACAGTAATATCTGAGAGGTTCACATTGGAGGAGCAGACATGGAAGAGAAAGATGCCTCCCCACCCTCAGATTTCATTTGTCTTTTCCAGCAGAGTGGACCCAAACAGCTAATCAGACTCCACACCAGTCCAGAGAAGAAGAGGAGCTCCGGCTCCCTGGCCCTCACCACACAGTCGGGTCCTTCCGCTCGTGTTCCCGCGGCTGCATCTCAGGGTCGAATTCCATGTGCTTTCTCCTGCAGACCCTCACTGCCACGAAGATACCCAGCAGGATCAGTATGACAGCACAGGCGCCTCCAACCGCCGCTGCCAAGATGCCGATCTCAGAGAGGGAAACTAGAAGCAGCAAGACCCAACATCAGTGATAACAGTGTGTGAAAGCTGAATGCTGCCTGCTGGGAAATGTGAGAGAACAAACTAGAGATGCAATTAGACTACACAATAAAACAGTGTCCCAGTGATCTGACACACTGTCCCTCACTTAGTGCTGTGGGTATTCAAAGTGCTCTTGACCCAGACACAGAACCCCTACCTGTTCCAGGGAGGACCCTGACCTTTGACCTCCCTGTGAAAAGCCCTGAGTGATACAGCAGAATCTCTACAAGGATGAATAAAGTACCACCTTCTACATGTAGAAAACATGGACTGAAAAGCATAAATGAGATACAGTCTTCAACATTATGAATCTTATTTCGCTGTAGCATATTTGATGCTGATGAAATGTGACACACTTTTCTCCCCATCGTGCAGTGCAAGCAGTCTAACCTTTGTTGACGACTCTGAAGGTGATCTCTCCATTTCTGCCATGCACATCTGGACGGTTGCGCACCTGGCAGATGTAGGTGCCATTAAAGGTCGGAGGCACCTCATGCAGGGAGATGGAAGCATCGTATCTGGTAACATCTCCCGACCACACCGCGTGGCCTTTAAAACGCCCTTCCTTGGGAGGGTATGGTACCTCATGGTAGTAAAACACCTGACACAAAAACACATATCCAGCAAAATTGCACAGAGAATAAGTCCAAACAAATCAGCATGCATGAGGATATTCTGCTCATACAGAATGTACTAAACACGCTGCTGTGGCAGTGTCAGCTGTCAGCTGGCTAACACAGCCACCATAGCTCAGCTTGGAGCGACAACTCCTGATAACTGCAGGAACTGAAGATATGCATGTGTCACCATTAGCAGCAAACCAGCCCCTGGCCTTTCCCTCTGCATTTCACATGAGCAGGACGAGGCATCATTTTTTAATATGTTTTCCACTACTTCAGTTTTGAATAAGTGTGACCTAGTCTGCCATCAAGAATTTAAGATTGTACACTGAGAGCTGTTAGAAAAGGGCACAAAGAGTATATTGAGTGACTACAAGAACAGAGATGAAAAAAGTAGATAAACATGTTATTATTAAAACTTTTAACGGTCCAGTGTGTAGAATGTAGCGGGATCGACTGGCAGAAACGGTACATAATATTCAGAACTATGTTTTCATCTTAGTATATAATGACGAAAACTCTGTGTGTGTCTGTTCCACGTTTTTCTCCTCACTGACTTGGTCAATCCATGTGAAATTTGGCACAGTGGTAGAGGGTCATGGGAGGATGCCAATGAAGCAATATTACATCAATTGGCCAAAGGGGGGCGCTATAGCAACCCATTGAAATGTCAAACTTTGAATGGGCATATCTCATGCCCCGTATGTCGTAGAGACATATGGGGCATGCACAGGTTGCACAGAGATGCCTCTCCTCATGAGGAACACATTTGCCTCAAGAACCCATAACTTCCGCTTATATAGATTTTCCACCATTTTGAATTTTTTGAAAAACACTTCAAATGGATCTCTTCCTAGGAAGTTTGAGCGATCTGCATGAAACTGGGTGAACATAATCTAGGGACCAATATCTAAAGTTCCCTCTTGGCAAAAGTTGGAAAACTTACTAAAACTGAGCTTCTATAAGGCAATGAATATTGTGGAGGGCGTGGCTCATCACATAAAGGTGTATAACATCTCAAGGGTTTCACCCATCACCACGCAACTTTGTAGGCATATGACCACACATAATCTGAGGGGACCCCTCCATTATTGACCCCATCAAACAAAATGGGGGCGCTAGAGAGCTCATTTCTTATCTAGGCCTAACCGCCATATGGATTTTTACTAAACTTGGTAGATATGTAGAACAGGACGCCTCAAGGTGACTGGAGAAATTTAACTCTAACTGGCAACTGGGTGGCGCTATAACAACAGAAAAATGCTTCAAAATGGCTAAAATGCGACCGATCGCTGTGGCTCCCCCTGTGGACCAATGTTGGTGTTTTCTAATGTTTGGTATGACTAAGTCATGGTATGGTATGCTGTACATAACCATGGAAACTGTCAGTGTGTCATTCTGTCAGTCAGTCATTCTGTCTGTCCCACGTTTTTCTACTCACTGATGTGGTCAATCTATGTGAAACTGCGCATAGGCATTGAGGACTGGCATAGGTAGAAGGTGACAAAGCTACCAATGGCTATGGACTAGTTAGTTTATAATCACTGATCTGAAAATAAGAATAGTTGTGTTTTTGTTACCTTAGAATGAGCCATTCATATCTACGTACGGGGCAGTTCCTTTCCCACAGAGTCTGCCATGTTGTTCAACAACAGCCCAGAATGGCCTAACCAAACACCGAAAGAGCCATTTGCGTTTTTGCATCGGCCACCATAGTTCTCATACGCACTTGGCCCACAGAGTTTCAGTTCTGCAACGTCACCACTAAAGGACACTACATCCCACACACTGAACCTTTAAGGGCCTTAATCTATACTATATTAGTTTAGTTTCATTTTGTTTTTTTAAAATATATGTATTTTTTCTCTTTATTTTGTTTTTTCTTGCTCATATAGTTTTCTATCTTAAGTTGAGGGGTGGTCCGTTGTATAAGCTTATATCTTCTTGACCTCTCCTGTCACATCCTTATTTTTTTTTTCTATTATTTTATCTGGATTCTACGTTGTTTTTACTATGTGTGCAAATAAAAAGGTATGGTTAAAAAAGTAATCATTAGTAGATGTCATTAAAGTGACAGTTCACTCCAAAATCAAAAATATGTATTTCTTTTTGCATTTGGTGCTAGGTGAGCTAGCAGTAGATGCAAGCCTCCTTCGGCGTGGTGATACGGTTGGTGTGTGTAGTTTGGTAGAAGACAAGTTCCTACATGAAACTGCTCTCAACAAGGCCTGTGGATTATCTTGAGTAATCGGGTCATGATTTCTAGACAGAGATATAACTGTTGAGTTTTTTAAATATGTTTTAAGTGCTTTGAGCCCCTAGTACCATTATATTCAAGAGAAGGCAGACATCTCAGCAGCTGAGATCTCCAACACTCAGCAACTCACACCAAAATAATTTGGATTTATATTAGCGCTACAGGTAAGAGGAAAAATATGTGTTTTTGATTTTGGGGTGAACTGTCCCTTTTATAATGATATTAAAATACAATAAATACTCATTCAAGGCATTTTCATAAAAACAGTCTCTACACACCGACTCCTCCGATCCTGAATTTATGGGTCGGAAATTCCAGGACACTGTGACGGACTGAATCGACACTGGCGCACTGGACTTGAAAGTGCACTTCAGTTTAACATTGGTCCCATTGACTGCTTCCACCTCTGTTGGAGTGTAAATATCTATTCCGCTGACATGCCGCACCCCTGTGATAAAGTAAAACAAGTGAGAAAGAATATTCATGAACATTAGCTTAACTTTACAGACAAACCTGCTCTACCTGACTCATGCACAGACCACAAGTTATAGTTCAAACAGCCCAGGTTTCTTATTTCACCCCTCTGTTACAGAGCAATTCATGAAACCATTCAAACAAGAGCAGAGCTGTTTGAACCACACATGCTGTAGTTATCACTGCTTATTTTAACACAGAAAAGGTCCTTGACAGTTGAGAACAAAGTGACCTAGAAAGTTTTAAATATCTGGTCTTTATTGTTAGTTAAGAAATGTGAGTCAGTTTCTTGTGACGACAAATGCCCACAATCTACTCTGCAGCCACTGCATGAGATTGTGTTTTTCACTTTTCTACATGACTTCAGTGCTTCAGCAAACAGGAGAGCAAATAATTCAAATACCCTAGCACCAGCTACACCTACTATGGGTTAATGATTGCATGCGTGTGCAAGTACAGAGGGTTAGATGAGCACCGCCTTTACAGGAGTCTTAAAAACACAGGGAATATTAAATTATCTGAAAATAATGTTTGTTGTTCACCCGTTAAGTAACACACCTCATCAGTGACCCCAACATGAACAGTTTTCCATCAAGTTTAACTTGGTAAAGTATACTAGAGTGAGTGCAATTTGGAAACTGTTCATCTCCTTCCAGAGGTTTGGCAAAGTTAAATATGTGAGCTAAATCTTCATCACTGTCTGTCAGCTGCAGAGAAGAACAGACCTGCAGACTCGTCCTGCAGATTAAAGCATTCCTTCTAATGAACCACACAGAAGAAGAAGCCAAGAATGTTCTGTAATCCTGGACAGGGAAGGATAAAATAAAATGTGTGACTGCAGAGGATAACTAATCTTAACAAGGATAATAGTACTTAGTAGGACATGGTCAGTGTCTCTGTGCGGTGAATCTGCAGGGACTTGTCATGAAGCATTAATTTGTCTACTTTTAATTTCTTTGTCTCTTGATCTTTTTTATTAAATAAATAAATGTATTCAAATGTGCAGTTGATTATAGGCTTTGGACCACAGTAAATGTGTTTTGACTGAGCCACAGAAGGAAAAAGATGGTTGAATGTGTCGGTGTATTTAACCAAATTGGGGTACAAAAAACAAACGCTATATTTGAATGACATTCACTGCAACCAAAACTGGCAGCAATATGTAACATCTGTTTGCAAACCACAGAGAGTGAAATCAAGGGGTGTAGAATACAGGAAGCATCAGCAGATGATATTTAATCTTGAATTCAAGACCAATGTTTTCCTAAATGATGCACATACTCTTTCTATTTTAGATAATATTTGTTAGATTTAGACTGATAATGTAGTTTGACCAGCAACTACATGTTTTTATTGATCGTTTTTTCATTATATTTTCATTTGAGTGTGGTTTCCTGAACACTGCATTAGACATTCCTGTCAGTAACAAAGTTCAGTAGAGTTGTAGCCTGTCGCAGACTGAGCAGTAAAACTGAATTAAAGCCAAAAAAGTTGCATGAACTTGTTCAACAGACAGCAATCTTCTCGGAATAAAGTGACAGAGGAATGTGATGAATGAGCAAAAACAAGCCTGGAAGTGTTTCTTATAAAATACATAAAGTACCTATAAAAGTGATTTTAATATTAACTGGGTAATATTAACTGGTCTGTGCTGCTTAAAAGAAAAGTTAAAGTTTAGTTTCAGTCGTTCCATGATATCCCCTCACTGTAAAGAGCCTGGGAACATTAGGAATGATTACTTTTGTTACAAAGCCTGCTCCACGCTATCTCTCCGTTGTGAGGTCATGAGAGTGCTTATCGGACAGACAACCTTAAATATAACTCTACGTTTAGATATGCTCTCATGGTAAATGCTCCACGAATGACTGGCTTCAACCTCAAGTTTCAAAGTCTATCATTTCTTCCATAGATTCGTTTTTAGTTCCAGCAAAGACAGAACTACCAGTTAATCACAATATCAGACACAGCCCAGAGCACCACACCAAGTATGTCCAAGCTTACTTGTCCTGACAGCTCCGTCCTCTTCACAACTGGCAGGATACTTGAGCAAAGTTAAATCTGATTTCAACATCATAGAAAGATGTGTTCTTCAGAGCCAACAAACTGTATGTTATTGCCCACTCATCACATAGTTGGGCCATTATTTGTATTTTCAATTTTATTTTGACAAAATCTACTGAAATGACACTAAATAACACTGAAGTTGGCACTGGATTTTTAACCCTTGTCACTGCAGCTCCAACAATCAAATCAGTGGAGCAACGCATTTCGTCTAGCTAGTGTTCTTTCACATTTTTTTTTTAGAGGCGGCCAGATGAAAATCTTGGGGTGACACATCAAAACCAAAAGCCATGAGTGAATTTCAGAGGTTTGATTCATACCTGTCAAGTTTTGGATTTGAAAATAAGGGAAATTGTCTGGCGCCCTCCCTTATATTTTAAGACAGGTGTACACAGAGGCGGTCCTGGCTAGTTTTACGCCCTGGGCGAACCATCCCTCAGACTTCTCTGTCGCCGGTAAGCCGTTATCTTGCGCCGCAGAGCACTATTAGCCTCTGCCATATTCCTGTCTGTGACCCCTGTTCAACCCACAACCGCCAAGATTCGCATTTCCTTTCTGCTGCTGGTTGAAACGTGATAATAGAGGTGCCCCAGCGCCCACTCCACTAACTTGACGTGGAAATGAGCGGTAGTCTAAAAAACTGGCGAGTTGTTGTTGGTTTTTTGGGGTTTTTTTGGAGGGTGCTCGTGCGCCCTCACATAGATTGCGCCCTGGGCGGTCGCCCACATTGCCCATAGCAAAAACCATCCCTGGGTGTACAGGAAATCTAAAATAACCACTTGTCAACCAGACCCGCTGTCGACACTAACCCCACGACAACTGCCACCCAGGCTACTGCAGGTGGCAGTTCTTGCGAGGCTAGTGACAGAGTTCAGTTTGGAGAGGCAGAGGAATGTTGTTTTTTTTAATTATATTATAATACGGGAGATTAACGGGAAAATACTAATACGGAAGGACGGCTGGAAAGAGGGGTAAAATACGGTAGTTTCCCGGCCAAAACGGGAGACTTGACAGCTATGGTTTGATTACACTGTTGTAGTTTACTGTGGTTTCAAACTATGTCAATATGGAGAGTTAACGAATTTCATGCTGATGTATTCATATTGTATAAATTAATCATTTTGAGTTCCACAACAATCCTGTTTTAATGCATTTCTGTATGTGGCACAGGGGTGTCATTGTTCTTTGGATAGGGTAGTTTCCTTTTCCTTAGAAACCGATATCAAATAACTAATGGTGACTGAGGGCTGACTGTTTCACCTCGTGTCACCTGTGTCTTGACCAAAATTTGCACTGAACACACCATAAAGACTACAGTCAACAGCCAACTAGTACATACGATCTGGATCTGCGTGAGAGGAAATAACTCTCTGTACCAGCAAACGGCAGTATTTGTATTTGTTATTTGTATTTTGTAATCTCTCTTGAAAAAGGAAACTGGAGGACTAGCTAGCCAGTTAGCACATTAACAACTCAACCCAGTGTTGTTTACTGGGCACGACCAAACAATGACACTAACAATTATCATCCATTGCTAAAGACCTCAATGGCTAAAAACATAATCTTATGACATATAACACGTTTGTTCAAGCTCAAGGCCCTGACGGTTGGCCGTTTGTCAAAGCTGGCCTGTTGGTGAGCATCCGCAGCCTCCATCAGTGCAGTGCATCCCGTACTGTTAGCCCTCGTTGGCGCTAGTGGACTTTTTTTTCGGCTGATTCAGTAGGTTAAATCGGTGTTGACGACAGTGGAGCCCATCGGCGAATGCAACATGCTGAACGAGCTACGAAAAAGCTAACAAGGGCTGACAAAGGCCAACTAGTGCCAACCGCATCAGAGTGGACATGGCCCCCCTGTTCCCCCCTTGGGGGCACCAGTGATTCAACCTGTGGACATATACAGCTGTGATTTATTGACTGCCTGAACTTAGTTGTATTAAAAATGTATTTACCCCTCTTTCTTTGACTGTTTGCCCATGATGAGACACAGCGCCATTATTATACTGGGCCAATTTGGTTCTGAGAAAATATCTACAATTTATTGGACCTACTTGCTCCATATACCTACATGGTGGATCACAACACAGTACGGCTATCTTAAAACAAAACCAAAACAAAAAAACAAAACAAGAATATTGATGAAAATGTTTTTACCGCCAGTGATGATAACTTTATGGATTAATGATATACTGAGAAAGAAATACATATACAGTATACAATACAAGGATTGGTAAAACAGTGGTTTAAAAATATATAGTGATATAAGCATATTCAATTGTAGAACAATCCAATATAGGAAAATAATCCATGGCCTCAAGAACTACCATATAACATAGCATTCTGGATGTGTACAAATAATTGCTGCCGTAGGCCTATGACGCTGATACTCTGTAGTCTTTTTTGCCAGTAGTTTTACTACTCAGTTGTAGCCTTCGTGTTAAAGGTCGGTCTGAGCCAACTGAAACTGAACAATCTCCCTACAGACTTTGTTATGTCTCTTCATGACCTGCAGTGGACACTGGGTCATACTAACCAGTCCAAAAATCACTTTTAACACTTTCTTTCTTCTGTGGAATTTGTGGCGGCTGTCTATCACTGTTTAGCCTGAGGACAGACACAAGAAACTCGTCTTGTCTCTCCAGGAAGTTGTTGAAACTCACCTGGCACCACGAATCCTCCCAGGAGAAGCAGAAGCCATATCCGACACATGGGACAAAACATTTATACTGCCTCAGCTCCGGTGGCTTAATCCCTCTGTGAAAGTCCCGGCATGTACAGTTACTGAACGCAAATGTCGCCGCTGACTATCGAAGGTAAAGTCCTTTTTGTGAACGTGCTCGTCGGTGGTGAAAACGTGAGTCACCGTGCGCACACACCTGATGGGCGGTGTTTAGTCCCTCACCTCTTGCATAACCTGTTCTACGCACCCTGCTGCGCAACACCTCATCTGTCTCTGCTCGGCTCATGTCGTCCCACGAAGCTTTAAAGTGTGGATTTATTAACATGGGTGTTGGTGTGTTTTTAATGATTAAAGTCTGATTAAAGTCTAACTTGTCAGGGTAAATTCAAATATTGAATCACACAGGTAAGTTTCTGCTGAGTGGCACCATCTTGTGGCCACAGTATCACATTACAAAAAATCAGTCACTGTTAACTCAGCGCAAAGACAACAGACCTGTGTGTTCTAAGTGCCATGGGCAATATCACAAAATGTGTCTCAAACTGTGTGTTGTGCGTGTGTTTTTATGGCATAATGTCAGTGCTGTAGCTTATGTAAAGCAGGCAGATACGCTGATTTATTTCTATTTGTCACAAAGGCTCAGGCCTATGTCACGGCCTCAGTATTATCACTGTTATCTAGTTTGATTTTTTTTATTCAGTTCAGTTTTTTTTAACTACAAGCAGGCTTAGTTTGAAAAGTATAGCTAAGATTTAATATCTCCTTCTGCAGGAAACTGTCACCAACATTTGTTTGACCAGCACAGTGATTTCTGAAAGTGTGCCGTGGGCATTCAGTTTTGTTAATTTTCTGTTATCACGAATCTGAATATGACATGGAATTCACTATTATTAATTTACTAAGAGATTCCCATCTGATTTATTTAAAATAGATTTTTTTTAACAAGTCTGTTGCCTGGAGTAATTATTTGTGTCTAATACAGTTCTTTCAAAAGGAAGTTTAAATGTTGTCTTGCCCTCATTGAAAATTCTATGAACATGCAAATATTTTTCATTTCAGTAGCTCATCTGCTGGACACAAAGTGTCTCCATGGTCCATTCTTACTACATCTGCACTAAAGGTTTTAAGTTTCCACAGCACACGTGTGCATTTGGAAACAAGTTGGATACTGGACCATGAATGGCTTCCAAGCTAGTTTTAATGTCACAAAATCATCTTGTATGTGAAGTTTCAAACTCAGATTCAAAATGTGCTCAGAGAAAGTTGCCTCCTTTAGCGGATGAATGTGAAAAGAGCCTTCTGTTAAAGACAGTCATCTTATCTTATCATGTCTTCGGTGTGCAATAATCAGATAAGCACAGATTTTGTGCAACAAAGTGATGGTAACTGACTAGAATGAAAAATACTCTAAAATGTGTTTTGCTTGTTGTTACATCACTTGGATGTTTGAGCTTCACTGTGCAGAATGACAAGATAATCCTTTATTCGTCCATTACAGTAGCAAAGGGATAATGCAAACAGGAAGCATCAGTGAAGAAAACACAAAGCAATATAACAAGTATAAATGCTCACAACAGCGTGGGCTACGGCGTACGGTCTGCTGCACAACTATAAATCCCCCTTAAGGCAGAATTTATACTTCTGTGTTGAATCGACGCTGTAGATACGGTGTAGGCTCTGCGTCGACACGGAGCCAATGCTGTAGCCTTGACTAATGTTTTGGAGGTGTAACTGCACCGCACGAGTATAAATCTCACTTAACACTACAATAACAGTCTAACATGGTGGTGTTGCATTGACCAGGAATCGAACTCACGGCTCCCACGTAGAGGCCTCCGTATGTGTCATCTCCTCGTTAGTATAAGTGTCACGCAGGAGACAGGAGTTCGATTCCCCGACAGGGAGGCACATCTTTTAATTTTCCCATAATGATTATTTAAATGACAGCAGGTGACACAGCTGACTCAGGTTGTTGAAATATATATAATATAAACATAATAAATCGAAGCCCTGCTCCAAAAGTCATGAAGTGAAAAAAGAAACAGGCACCTTCCTTATACAGACGACCTGTACCTTAGGCTTTTCTAAATATACAGTTTTATTACCATTAACCCAAATATATCATATTAATGACCAAACAGAATATAAACCTGTCTTATTATATGATATAAATTACTAATAATCCATGACTTACAAATATAAACTATTCTAAATGTATGATATAAATATTAACAATTATCTTTGCCCAACAAAAAATAAATATAACATATACAGTACAGGCCAAAAGTTTGGACACACCTTCTCATTCAATGCGTTTTCTTTATTTTCATGACTATTTACATTGTAGATTCTCACTGAAGGCATCAAAACTATGAATGAACACATGTGGAGTTATGTACTTAACAAAAAAAGGTGAAATAACTGAAAACATGTTTTATATTCTAGTTTCTTCAAAATAGCCACCCTTTGCTCTGATTACTGCTTTGCACACTCTTGGCATTCTCTCCATGAGCTTCAAGAGGTAGTCACCTGAAATGGTTTCCACTTCACAGGTGTGCCTTATCAGGGTTAATTAGTGGAATTTCTTGCTTTATCAATGGGGTTGGGACCATCAGTTGTGTTGTGCAGAAGTCAGGTTAATACACAGCCGACAGCCCTATTGGACAACTGTTAAAATTCATATTATGGCAAGAACCAATCAGCTAACTAAAGAAAAACCAGTGGCCATCATTACTTTAAGAAATGAAGGTCAGTCAGTCCGGAAAATTGCAAAAACTTTAAATGTGTCCCCAAGTGGAGTCGCAAAAACCATCAAGCGCTACAACGAAACTGGCACACATGAGGACCGACCCAGGAAAGGAAGACCAAGAGTCACCTCTGCTTCTGAGGATAAGTTCATCCGAGTCACCAGCCTCAGAAATGGCAAGTTAACAGCAGCTCAGATCAGAGACCAGATGAATGCCACACAGAGTTCTAGCAGCAGACCCATCTCTAGAACAACTGTTAAGAGGAGACTGCGCCAATCAGGCCTTCATGGTCAAATAGCTGCTAGGAAACCACTGCTAAGGAGAGGCAACAAGCAGAAGAGATTTGTTTGGGCCAAGAAACACAAGGAATGGACATTAGACCAGTGGAAATCTGTGCTTTGGTCTGATGAGTCCAAATTTGAGATCTTTGGTTCCAACCGCCGTGTCTTTGTGAGACGCAGAAAAGGTGAACGGATGGATTCCACATGCCTGGTTCCCACTGTGAAGCATGGAGGAGGAGGTGTGATGGTGTGGGGGTGTTTTGCTGGTGACACTGTTGGGGATTTATTCAAAATTGAAGGCACACTGAACCAGCATGGCTACCACAGCATCCTGCAGCGACATGCCATCCCATCCGGTTTGCGTTTAGTTGGACGATCATTTATTTTTCAACAGGACAATGACCCCAAACACACCTCCAGGCTGTGTAAGGGCTATTTGACCAAGAAGGAGAGTGATGGAGTGCTGCGGCAGATGACCTGGCCTCCACAGTCACCGGACCTGAACCCAATCCAGATGGTTTGGGGTGAGCTGGACCGCAGAGTGAAGGCAAAGGAGCCAACAACACCTCTGGGAACTCCTTCAAGACTGTTGGAAAACCATTTCAGGTGACTACCTCTTGAAGCTCATGGAGAGAATGCCAAGAGTGTGCAAAGCAGTAATCAGAGCAAAGGGTGGCTATTTTGAAGAAACTAGAATATAAAACATGTTTTCAGTTATTTCACCTTTTTTTGTTAAGTACATAACTCCACATGTGTTCATTCATAGTTTTGATGCCTTCAGTGAGAATCTACAATGTAAATAGTCATGAAAATAAAGAAAACGCATTGAATGAGAAGGTGTGTCCAAACTTTTGGCCTGTACTGTACGTCTAAGCAACTTGCTACAACTCATGTTCGGCCTCACATCTACTTGGTGACGTGTGTGTTTATTTTCCTCTTTAACACAAATATGTACATAACTCATCACACAGCTCATTCCACAACTCCACCCCACACACTGAAATACACAGATTCTTCTTAGTTGTTTGAAGACATGTTTTTTTTTTAAAATTAAATTCTCCTCTTAAATTATTACCTCACCCCCCAGAACTCATGTTCTGAGTGTCAGCTGTGAATCTACTACTACACACAGATATTCAAACTCATGCACTAGTGATAATCTTCTCCCTGCTGCTGTAACATCTTGATCTGGAGCTCTATTTACAGACTTTGAGAAAAATCCAGTTTTACTGTTTTACTTTTATAAGGTTTGCTTAGCAGTGACAAGGACATAGAACGAAGCTCTATAAGACATAAACAAGTCAAACAGCTGTTGACTGATGGCAGACTACACCTCATGGCTCTGTTAGTATGAACTTCTTTTCATTCTTAAAACAATGTAAATACTGCTGCCACTGGGTGAAGCCCTCTGACTGTGTTAGACTGACATCTTGTGGTGAAGATGATGTACTGCGCTACAACCTGTCGCTACTGCAGAGTGACACACTGGTTATTTCCCCATTTTAAAGTTATAGAATAAAAATAAAATACCCTGTGTCTGTGACGGCATCACGTCTGTCTTTCTATCGTTGCAGCTCTACAACACACGTTTGCATTTGTTCATTTCTTTTGTGTGTCATTTATTAAACACACCGAAACAGCGCCACCGGTCCATAGACCCCTGTGTAATGGTTAAAAATGGTACTGCAGCAATTCGTTCTCAGGTTCTCCTCCTGTCAGCAGATGTTCGATTCCCCGACGGGGACTTGACATTTATTATTATTTTTTCCTGTGGGGTTTTACTGAGTAGATGACGGTAATTAAGTATGGATTGTTTAAGTTGTTCATTATATATTTATTCTAACTTATAAATATTTACTTATTTACTTTATTTAAACTACTGTATTACTACTTTAAATTACTGATATTATTGAGATCTGCTGCTAAATTCAGCGTCACACTTCAGTCAGCAGAACTCTGATTTAATGAATTAGCAGTTATCAAACTTTGTGAACTGTTGTTAGGCTAATGTATACAATGTAAAATGCCATAGACTTGTGCTAATAACGTTAGCATGTTGTATTTGTGGGGAAAATGTGTCCAGATAAAGACAAGTGTTTGTCTGTGAATGCTGCGAGTTATCTACCTTATTTTTCACGGAAACACGGAGGCAAAACAG